CGACACACACACACACACACACACACACACACACACACACACACACACACACACACACACACACACACACACACACACACACACACACACACATACACACACACACACATATATATATATATATATATATGATGACTCACCGGCAAGTCACGACTATTCAGATGTATTTACCTAGTCATAAATACATACATTTTTTAAGACTCCGAACTCAAAGGGCAAAGTTCCGTCTTGCTCCCGACTCCGCAGAGTTCGAGGCCCGATTTTTTTTCAGTTGTAAACGTTTTCACAATTTTTTATACCACATTATGTATATGTATCTGTTTTTACTATGTGGTTTTTAGAAATATATATACGGTTTTACATGTAAAGTAACGTTTTAAGCTTTAGCCACCAGCCCCCCATCGGAGTCTGGATGTATGTCGAAATATGCATGACGATGAATCCGCACGACGTTCATTTTGATTGGCCTATAAAATCACAACTGTTTCCAGGGACCTCATTCTGGGTTTAAAATTCGAAGGCTATGCTCATTTACGCTCATTCACTTGATTTTAATGTGACAAATTCTAATAGAAATCCTGTACTGGTAGCGAAGGCCGAAGCTATGATACACAAGTGAAAAGAATTATATCAACCCACATCAGTTTAAGACAGATAGGTGGGGTTAGCGTATTTGAAACGGATCACCGTACAGCCTAAACCAACGGTCAAGAGAAGGACAGGATAAATTATCAGATCAGTCCGCCTTGGTATCAAGCACAAACCCACAGCTTTGTAGAAAAACAGACAGATCTATAGGGTTATAAGTATATTCTCTAGTATTAAACGACAATATCTACATATGCAAGAAAAAATAACAAACAACAGATCAATATGAGGTTGATGCGTAAGATAGTATCGTCCGGCAAACCCGATGCGGATGACGGTCCCAAGCCGGCAAATCGTAGCTCGATCTCATCCATACATTCTACGTCAAAGAAATCCTCACTTGTTCCCCCGAAACAGAAACAAGCGGAAGAAACAACTGTACCGGGAGAAGCGTCGGTCATATTGGTGTGTGTGTTGCACATGCTGATTAAGAGGCAGAACCAAGCCGTATGAGCGTTTGAGCTGTTTATTTATAAGTATGTGTACAATTCGTTTGATATTTAAAAAGTAGGATACGACGATGCACTATCGCAAAAAATAATTGAGAGTATAAATGTCTGATAGAAGGTTAAACTTCTATGTGAATACAGGTATGTATATAT